GCCGACACCGTGTGTGAGATTAGGTTCATATTGCCGAATAATTAAGGATGTTTAACCTATCAAATGGACTACTAAGTTGAAAGAAAAATAAAACTGACTAAATAAATCATTCATGCTACAAATTATTTTTCTCATCAAATTATAAGTGCAATGGGGTACTTTTCCGGTCTCAAAAACAATAATTAACGAAAATATTCATAAATAATGGAGGATTTGTGACTGCAGTGGTAACAGTCGAATTTTGATCGGGCAACATCGCACCCTTCGGCTGGTAGTTGGGGTTGTAACAGTGAGATGAATGTTTGTGTGTGTTATACGTGTCCATATGCTTTCAGCACTGAATTATCGTGACCGATTTTACCGACCTCGATCAACTGTTGTGTGGTGTTGTCGCGTTGTTCGACTCCTAATGGCGGTCAAATTTTTTTTAGAGGAATGCGAAAATCAATCGAAGATATCACGCGTACATGGCCCGGTCCCAGGGTGCGATCATGCCTACCTGATCAGAACTTGATCTGAATCATCCTGCAGTTTTTCGGATCCGATCTACTGGATCAAAACTTGGTCACGTTCTCATCAGGCATCATCTGATCATGCCTACCTGATCAGAACTTGATCTGAATCATCCTGCAGTTTTTCGGATCCGATCTACTGGATCAAAACTTGGTCACGTTCTCATCAGGCATCATCTGATCATGTCTACCTGATCAGAACTTGACCAGAACATGCTTGTATTTTTTCGGATCCGATCTGCTGGATCAGAACTTGGTCAGGTTCTCATCAGCCATCATCTGATCATGTCTACCTGATTAGAACTTGATCCGAATCCGCCTGTAGTTTTTCGGATCCGATCTGCTGGATCAGAACTCGGTGAGGTTTTCATCAGGCATCATCTGATGTGTACCTGATCAGAACTTGATCCGAACCCGCCTGTAGTTTTTCGGATCCGATCTACTGGATCAGAACTTGGTCAGCTTCTCATTAGGAATCACCGGATCAGTCGAACCTTACAAAAACCTGATCAAGTTCTGATCATGCTTCAGGTGGGCCTGAAGCCATTCTCACTCGGGAATGTTATGTAAGCAGTATAATACATAGTATTGTAATCCCAGAATAATTCCCCAAACATATCGATCGTCACCCGTTTGCATAAACTTATTATGAACAATATCTTCATCCATTCGTATCCCCAATTCCTTCAAATAATGACCACACTCCAATAATATTATTATGTAACCTACCGAAATCATTTATGTGAATTAAATAAGCTTCATTTGTATCAGATGAATAGATCTATCTGATTCAAACGAAGTTGGCCGGTTCCAAAGAGAATTAATTGATATTTACGTAACTGGTGAGTAGACACGCTATGAGACTTTCTTTCACAAACATTTTCACCCTATAGTGAACATACCCTAAAAGTGCAAATATTTTCTTGTAATTTTTTGAATGCCTCAGGTAACTCTTCTGGTTTCCTCTGGTGGCGGTAATAAAAGCCGTTTATCAGTCAGAGTTGAGAAGAAAAAAAATATTTCCTTCGACTCGGTTGGAATTACTCACGTGTTACGGGTATGGGACTGACAGCCGCTGAATCCCGAACAACGATGCCTGCGGCGATATTTGGCGAGAAGCCGGTGAGAGTTTCTCACATCGCGCGCCTACTAACGGGTGGACCCGGAGTTATTTGTCCATTATGGATATTCAAATAGTTCAGGCATTTTTTTTGTGGGGGAAATCCACTTCATAGTTTATAGAATAGACCAAGAGTATTGTTCAGGCGTAATATGAATCTTAGTTCCCGAACATTTTTTCTAGAAATGATTTTTTGAAAAAATTATCTTCAACATATTGCGTCCACAAGAGTAAATTTCGTGAAAGCTTTTCTTATTTGATTCAAACAGTTATTGTTGCCTGCATCAACACCACATGAAAATAGAGAAAGTCAATGACTTAGGAGAATGAAGTAAATTAAGTTATTTAGAATTTTTTTTGGAACTCCATAGGCACTAACTTTTGGGTCCGATTGTCTTGGGATATACCTTAAGTGGTCGCACAATGAGGAAATCCCCACCGTTATTCGATTTTTTTCTTTTGACGCAAAAACTTTGTGACTGAAATATTCATACAAAATTGGATTTCAACTTTTAAATATATTGAACACATTGACAATTTTTTTATTCACACCAATAAATTATTAAATCTTTTGGAAACTCGACTCGCTGGAAATTCAATCTCAAAATTAGAGAAAATTTTCAAATTCAAAAAAAAGTGACGGGGGTTATCCCCTTAGCACTTGCATTGTGCGCACACTAGTTAGACAGAGCAGTGCGAGCTATCCATGGGACTGATTTATTTGTCGAGTATTACCCGATGCCTCACGGAACCGCTCGATGCGAGCGAGCCACACGACCGACTTTACTCGCCCCGTGAAAGAATCTCACACGCTCCTCGTCTGAGCTCTACAAAATATTTTTTTATAATTTATTGAAACGTGCTAGATGGTTTTTATTGGCCCCAGAGGAAAGCGGGATAGTTGCTTGAGCCAATCAAAAAGTTTCAGTCCAAAATCTCAATTTTTTGATAATGGTCCCGACACTCTGAAAATTGTTGCAAAAGAAAATCATATAGCGCGAGTGCTGACGGGTTGATGAAATTGTAAAATACATGGAGCGGAGATTATCTTAGACCACTTAAGGTTTAATATAATTGAAACTGTTCTTTTCAATCAAATATATGAGTCCATTCATTTCCAATAAAAATACTGTTCAACTAAATGAAAGAATTTCAAATAAAGAATATTATTTGATTCAAAAGCGTCAGTTCTCAGGATGTACCGTCTCAATATTATCGCCAACCACTGACACTACAGTATTTATTACTAAATCTGTCGCCAGTGTTCACTATTTCTGTCATCTGTTCACTATTTGAAAATTGTGAAACTTTATCTTCAAAACCCTGAGGAGAAAAACACCGGAAATGACTACTTAGGGAGTCCAAGTATCATCGAAAACATCATCAAGTATCATAACCATCAAAAAATGTGGTAATCATTGAATTCTTTTACGCCTCTCACTCGCATCAATTCTATGCTATTCCCATCTCAAAACCAACAGAAGTGGAAAAAAAACCTGAATATTACCTTGACACAAGCTCTATCCTACCATAAACTCTCTCATTGTTTTTATGGGTGCTATTATTCACGACCTTCGTAGGTGCAAGTATTTATTTGTTTGCACATTGGTGTAGCTCCACGAGGAGCTCACCCATGAAAATAGACTCGAGCGACGAAACTGAAAGAGAGGAAAAAATAGAGAAAAGAAGAACAACAGGGTATTGCGTGTTTATTGATCTCTAAATTTTGTTTTGATTCATGGTAACTGCGTCACATAAACACACCTCATGTATGCTCGGTTCTCTCTTTGAACATGTTAAGAGTATAGTCGTATTTTCACATTGATAGAAATTTTAATTCATCTAACTTCATTATTCATTAAGGAAATTATTAAGGGGAGACCGCGGTGAAATTTGAAAGTTGCAGGTGGTAGTCTCTAATTTTTTTCTCATTATTATGGTAATTTTATAAAATGAATGACGAACAAAATTTTTTTTTATTGGAATTTGCTGATGTGTCATGGCGTTCAACTTACATCATACTACAATATTTTTTCGTCTCTACCAATTCACAGCCAAAAAATTGAAAAATTGAAATTTTCAAAAAAGCTCAGATTTTCTTTCCTTGCTATATTATGTATGGGGTAACCAACATTCAAGTCAATCTTTCAAAAATGCAGGTAAGGGGACTACTTTGAAGATTTTAATAAATATTAAAATGTATAACTTGTTCTAAATGGAAATAAAATGTCCAATCGAAATACAGCGACAATATTTGATTATTATTCAAAAAACATGGAATAATGATTGAAATACCATTCTCACATTTTCACAATATCATTTCGTTCTTATGCATTTCAATTTATCAAATAAAATCTGAATTCCATTCATTTTATTGAATCATCCAACATCGGAGATTTCTTTATTTTGACAGCTATTGACTAGAGGTTAGATACTGAGCGGTATTTGATGTATCCAATAACGTTCACTCAGCACCAATCTTCATTTTTTGATAATTTATCGGAAATGAAACAAGAATTGAGGATCCAGTTGGTAAGGTGTCCGCCTACAGAGCCAGAGGAACTCGGGTTCGCAAGCTGGGACTGGCGAATTATTTCTGGATTGTTTGATTTAGTCAAATAATATAAAGACAACATTGAGAATGTTTGAGATAAAAACGTTGAAATACCAAAAGAAAATAGAATTGAGCATGTTCGAACCATGTATACAATCTACAGTTTTACGTGTCTCGAGAACCGAGCTGACTACAGTTGATTCTCACCATCATATCTGATTGCATTCTGATCATTCACTTCAAATACTGTCATAACATCGTAACCTAAAAAGTTACAGAGGAAATAGTCGTAAGCTCTAAGCCCCAACAATACAAAACAAGCAAACGTCTAAATATTTAGTTGGCTGGCCACAGAATACTTTGCGACTATAATTTTCATCCGAAATCATGGTTTGAGATGCGAAAATTAACGTTCCTCCTTAGGTGAGCGATACAGGAACCACTTCCCCTACTCGAACCGCGAGTGGGATAACAGAAAAATTTAGAGAGAGAGATACTAGTGAAGAAAAATGAGCACAAAAACGAGAACCACCGGGTGCTTTTCCTTGTAATTATCATGTAGCCCCATACTTTCGAGCGTGCGAACCGCGAAACTGGAACGCATAAATTGACTCCTATTAATCGTTTATTCTTCAAAAGCGAAAAGATACTGCAGAAGTATCTCACTTTCCTGATGCGAGTAAATGCATATATTTGCTATTTCACGCTGAAATATTCTATTTTCTGTAATTGCACTGTCATTACTCTGTCGTACAGCAGATAGTGGGTTACGAATGATGTTTCTGATGGAATTGTTTTTATTTGTGTTCGACAGAATTACAAACAGAAGGATGCCGGCAAAGTGGTTGTTTACACAACGTCAATGAGGGTCGTCAGAAAGACGACTATTGCATGCGTGAAGATGCTGAGGATCCTGGGTACACACATGGTGCAGTACGAGGAGCGTGACTTGTTCAAGAGTAGACAGTTTCAGATGGAGCTCAAGGACAGGGTTGGGTGTGATAATGTCGAGGTGCCGCAGCTCTTTATCGATGGACACCATGTGGGGGTAAGCCATTTCTCAGATTTGATTTATTTAGGTATTGGTTTCCCTAGTAGACATTTCATTGCACAGAAACATCGCGGCGTAAGTTGGCGCGCGACATTGCCTTCCGCGGCGAGGTACCTCAGCGAGGTACGCAGCAGGACCGCTGAGACAGGGCTGTGCGGGGTTTATGCAGGATGGGCCTATCTGTGTCCGTCCTAACCTCAAATCCCGTCCATTAAGAATTCACAATCTTCAGATTAGGCGTATTAATTCAAATCAATAATTGAAGGATTAACGATTTGTTAGTGAATAATAATCGCTCGCAACTAATTGATGATTATTATTATCGATAAAATGAAAAAATAGGAGCGCACCGCGTCAGTGTCGCATAGGGTTCCAGGAGCGACTCAGCCGCGGAATACGGCAGCGCACTCCGTGCGTGAATGTCGCTGCAATAATCAATGATGCAGAGGCTCCCACAATTTCTACTAAAATCGCCATCAATTTCCAAGTGGGTGAGGGTCAGTGGTTGACTCATTTGGCGTGGAATACCTCATATATATCAACATGAAAAATTACTAGCGGAATTATAAAAAATTATCAGTTAAATACCGTGTCAACTATATAAAATAACAGTCGAATAGTGCTATTCTATTGGCTTTGGATGGGAAAAATTCTCGATATAATTTTTTTCTGATTGGTCCATGTCACGTCGAATACCGCAATTCTATTGTTCGGAAAGATGGGGGAAATAATCACTATAAAAATTATCTAGTTTTGCCAATAACCCAGTTTTCGGGAAAAAAATCCAAGTTTCCTCTTGAAATTCTCGCTTGTTTCGTGGAAATTGTGAGTATTAGCTGGAAAAATAGATAAACTGCTCAATAACATTCACTAGGCCGGAGCTTCATGTAATTCTCTAGAGAGTTAATGTATTTACGTGAAACACATATAAATTTTTTACGAGAATGATTATTGCCGCGGAAACCGTCATAGTTTGATGGACACTTTCTTTAGCGATTACAACCAAATTGATTCAATATGCGACAAAAGATATCTTCTATGGTATATATAATTTTCCGGTTGAATTATTTTTTTTTTCACTTTTCATCGGATTTGATCGAATTTGCTTCTGATCAGAAACCACATAAGAATGAGTTTGGCAATTATGACTTTATGTATAATCTTCGAATCACTCAAAAATTCATTAAATGAATAGTCAGCGACAGTTTTGCGGCTAATTAAAATTTTTTCAATTAGTTTAGTCAGTGATAATAATCAATGAATTCAATGAATTTTTCATTTTCAATTGAAAAGCTAAATTTCACCTTGAATTATGCATTGAAATCCTCCAAATATGTAAACTAAGATAACTTCGTGTAAAACATCCAGAGGTTTTCTTAAAATTAGGAGAAATAGTAAAGATTCAATTTGGTCGTCAGACTACAATTCAAATCTGTAAAGATCGGTATTCACTCCAAGTTACAAAATCATTCAATTCAAACGTCACAATACAAATCTACTGAAATCAATATTCACTCCTAATGTCTTCCACTTCGAGAAGAACTTAAGAATAACATTACCTCACGTGTGAGAAAATTCGATAGAAAAATTTAGAACATTCACTGCATTAAAAATTTCCTCTGAAAAATTGCGGAATTTTCCGCAATTGAAAAATTTATATCAGAAATCCAATGAAACTTTACACAAAAAATTACCCTACCGTTCTATAAAAATGTATCATTCGTCATCGTTTCTTCAATTCTATCCCAAAATTTAGTAAAAATTAATATATGATGATCAAATTTTATTATACGTAAGAGAAATTTTATCCTGACGCATAATAAATTTTACCCTTCCAGCCCAGTAATTTTTATATAGATAACAACGAAAATTCTAGAACGGTTGGTAAATTTTACTCTACCGGTACAGTAATTTTTACTCTACCGGCACGATAATTTTTATTTTTATCAGGATAAAATTTCTCTAATGTAGAATAAAATTTGATCATCATATATTAATTTTTACCAAATTTCGGGACAAAAATAAAGAAACGATGACTTATGATACACCTTTATAGAATGGTAGGGTAATTTTTATCAAAAATTTCTCTCCGTGTAGATTTTCCAATGAAATTACGCGCACGCAAAAATAACTCAGTTTCCAACCCTCAACCTAAAAAAGTTCGACTAGGTTGTTGGTCGCTTCGCTCGCTCCCATTGCGGGTGGGTCGGAATGAGTGTGATCCATTACGGCTCCAACCAATAACTTCCCGATCAATTGCCTTTCCTTCATTCATTAGAATTATATTTTTCCACACAACTTATTCTATTGAGACATTTTCCACTCAATTTCCTCTGCTCAAATTCTCTACATTTTTTTTGTGAATTTTCTTAATGAACAAAATATGAAAATAGGATAAAAAAAACAGTAATGACAAAAATTGACCTATATTGAAAAATCTTTGAAAAGTTTTAAATATCCTAAATTCATGTTCGAATTACTCCAAAACCGCTGAGACGATTTCGCTGGAATTTCACTGCAGTCTTAATCATACAAAGTTGCATCAATTATGATAACAAGAAATCAATCTCATCGTTTCTCTGAGAAGAATCATCAAATTTGTAAAAAAGTGTAATTTTTCGACGTTTCTTCATAAGTTTCATAGAAAAACCTAAAGAACCGCCAAGGCGATGTTGTTCCAAATCTAATTAGTTCTAAGTTACATGAAAACACATCAATTGCGTGAAAAAAATATCAATCAGATCGTTTGTTCGAGAGAAATTGTAGCACAAAATTTTGGACACATACACACACACATACAGATCGGTCTCTAAAACGTGTCGGGAGAGTTTCTAGGGATCATGAAATATGGAGAAATCATGAAATTTCCACAATCGATTTTCGGGGTCATTACAATAACTTCCTCCCTTCCGATCGGCAAGTTAAAAGTATCCTCCAATTTCACCAAAAGATCACTGTTTCATTGAACCAAAGAATTCTAAAATCATTTTCTCAATCAGAAGCCCCAGAAAATCAATTAATCACTGAGCCACCGCCAAATCCTCCAAATACTCCATCAATCACGGAATTAATCTCTCGGCAAAGCCCGAGCTAATCTAAAATTCTCCAGGAGAAAATGCGATAATTCCCCCTTCTAAAAATTGATTAATAAATTCACCAAGTGGGTCAATGATTCCTGTTTACTCCGCGCAATTCACAGAATGTGGAGTAACTAGGCAACCGGACAACACACGACTCGTTCCTCTATCAGATTCAAGGGGATAATTCACACGTTCCAAATATTTCAGCGTCTAGAATCAACTGAAAGTATGGAAAGGGAATGGGGTATACAGTTGATACCGCATATCCTACGCTGGAAAAACACTTGGAATTCCATTCAACTCATTTCTCCTCATAAACTCACAGCTCCCAGGACGTTTTATAGGTCTCTATAACCCACAAGTTCCCTCCCGTCCTCGTTGAATTGCGCGGGAGACGCGCATCGCCTCTTATCTCTGACATTTCACGTCAATCCCTCACGGCAATGCGGTTTATACTCATGCAGAAACGATCGTATCTCATCCTTACCTCATACTCATCGTTTTATTACGCAATTTATCGATTACCAAAGTCGTAATAGGAAATAGTATAGGTCCACAGAGTTACGCAGGTGTTTGATATATGCATAGAATTTTGTTACGCTGCTGTTACCCTATGGAGAATGATAAAAGAAAAATTACGAGCGATCATGTAAATGGAGAATTATCGGCTAAATGCGGGGAAAAACAGGTGGGTGACTGGCCTGGGTTGGTCAAATGCGTTGAGCAATGACGTCTTGCATTTTATCATCGTTATGTAGGACTATTTGTCCCATATATTCATGTAATGTGGGTTATGTACTCACTTTTTCCATCGGTAACCAAGTGATACAACTAGCGACAAGACGGTTTTTCTACTGGTATATTTTGTTGAACATGAAAGTTACTAGTTTCTGAGTTACAAATGTAACATTCTTTCGATAAATGCATTATTGATAAGAGTGTATAAATCGATTAAAATCACGGTGATTTATTATTTACGAAATCAGGGGATGCGGTAGAGTGTCAAATGCCGGAAATTTTTATCGTGTTCAAATTCCTTTGAAATTTCAGAAAATCTCGTCATTGCAAAATAAAATATACCATTGATTTTCTATTCAAATGATCTAGAAATCGGTAATATACTTGATTTTTTAGTTCAATTATTCTGTGAAAATTCAGAAAAATCCGGAAAATTCACCGAAAAATTGAAAACTCATGTCATTTTGTTTATGAATGTTCATGTTCCTATGAAAATTCAATCAAGTTATGAAATCTCCATCTCACTCCCACTTAAAATTCATGACTTTCCTTAAATTCAACATAAAATTAGAAATTTCGTACTCGTTTTTCTCTAAAATTCGATCCAATGTCACTCTTATGAAAATTACTGTCATATTGTCTATGAAATTTCAAAAAATTTGTAACAGTGTGGATGACTGACAGCCTAACAGAGTCTACCGCACTCTTATTCCGCTAAAAAGAGCTCCACACACTTCAATTTAAGAAAACGCGATGAAATTTTTTCTCCCAAGAAATTTTCATGGCGTATTGATTTAATGTGGGGTTATTTCCGATTGCATAAAAAAAAATTACAATTATTTACGAAGATACGAGCACGTTGTAGCGCCACATTTAGTCGACTTATTATACTGCGTGACATAATTAATAGATTATGTCATAAGGCCGATAGGCCGAGGTTTGTGAGTCGTGTGATGTTTGCAGGAGGAGGCGTCATGTCAGTAAGTCGGAGACGAGGCTCGCCGAAGGCGAAGCCTCCCCCCTCCACTGACTAAAAACCAAGTGAACAGGAGAGAAAAAAAATACAATAAAGAAAACAATTTGTACATTTTGTCAACTTAAAGAAAAATCACAAGAAAAATCTAGCACTTTCACAAAAGAAATCTACTGAATTTCTACTGAAATTCCATAAGTCTATTT